AGCTACCCTATTTATAAGAAATAAAATAATAATAATAAAAATATAAATAAAAATAAGAAATGTAATAATTGGTCTTTCATCGTATACCTGACATATATTACATATATGGCAGATTTAGTCAATCTGGCAGATTTGGCAGATTTGGCATTTTTCACAGATCTGCCAGTTTTGGTTGATTGGGTAGATTTTGAGGATCTGCCAATTTTATCTGATTGGATGGATTTTGTGATAAGGTAAAAATTATGTGATCTATAAGATAACTTTTTAGTTTATTACAATATACAAACTGCCTTAGCGTTCAATTTATTAGTCTCACTTTTTACCAAAGTAAAAAACTTTCAAAAATTGTGTGGTTGCTTTTTAGAATTTTCTTTTTTTTGTCTTAATCTTTTAAGACTACCCTTTTTTTTTCCCCATTTTGTTTTAATATCGCTTTACAGTAAAAATATGAATGCGAAAGAAAGATATTGGATTTCGAAAATCTTACTCCAATGTCAATCGATCAATCACATTATGATAAAAAATTTTAAATGTTACAAAAAAACATAGCGATACTTTTTTTAAAAATTGATATCTTATTTAAAAAAAAAATACTTTTTTTTAAAATGTAAGTTCTGACTTTATTTTAATTAAATTATCGAATTTATTAAATTTATTTTAATTGTTTCATACTTGTTCAACTCTTATTGGCTAATCTAATATTTGATTTACATGAAATGACTAAGGTCATTTACTTATGACCGCTAGTCATAAAGGTCATAACGATTGATCATAAAATTTTATGACTTATTGACCAAATGACCGCAGGTCATTTATATATTATGACCAAGATCATATCAAATCGTCATATGACCAGGTCATATCTCAACACTGCTCTATACTAGTTCGGAAAATAGCAGTTTAGCAGTATAAGTTCAACAAGAACAAGTCATTACTGCGTAGAGATGTTAACAGTTCGATCTGGTCCAGTTTGGTCCAGTTTCATGTGATCCAAGGGGTAAAACCAGACCGTGGACCGAGTTCAATAATTTTATGAACTGGTCTGTAATTAAATTTAAACCGAAAAAATTTATAAAACTTTATTAATTAAATCAAAAAAAAAAAATACCTTTACAATTTTTATTATTATAAAACAAAAAAATTTAAACAGAGAAAAAAAAAAAACTATTCTAAGATTTTTTAATATTGTTTTTTCTTTTTTCAATGACCCAATTTCTCGTACAAATTATGGCTTTTGCTGTTTCAGGATCTAATCTATTTCTTGTTCTTGAAATAGTTAAACCTGAAATTAAAAATGCCCTTTCTGAAGGAACCGATGTTGCTTGGTAAATAATCCTTAGCAATCATTGATAATACCGGATAATCCTTTTCATAAGTTTTCCACCAAACTAAAGGATCTGTATTAATATAATTAAAAAAAATCATATTTAAGTTAGACGCGTGGATAATCATTTGATAATCTAATTGAACCGGTCTTTAAGATCGCAGTCTGTCAATCTGATCCCTCAAACTGGGTACCGTTCAACATTAGACCGTTAACATTTCTACTACTGCGTAAGTAGATTGTTACTCCTTATTTCTTCACTAATTTTTCAGAGATATTCTTAGGAGTAGTAATGCAACTCCAAAACGAATGTCAGATTGTATCTTTTATCGAAACCTTTGGTGGGATAAGGGAGAATTTAGCGAAGGAGCAAAGTGGGAAGAAGTAACGAAAGTCTCTTTTCCTACTTGTTTGACATTGATATTTGTTTTAGCTATAAATTGTTATTCATATATAAGATTACCTTATGTGCTTGCTACAGGCATCGCCATTGAGGAATATGAAAAATGTACAAAAGAGTTTAAAATTCACGGATGTTGGGAGTGGTCAGACGGAAAAATCTTAATCTATGAGTTTCCTTCTATGCCACACGAAGTTAAAATCAGTGCAATTGTTAAGCAAATAAATAAAAAATGCGGTAATGCTGATAGAACTGGTGCCGAGATTTATGGTTTTGGTTCTACTAGTAAGTATTAATATCATAACATATTTCTCCGTTTGTATCATTGTATTAATTTTTATTTCTTAAAGAAACACGTGATAGAAACCATGGAAAAGAAGTTGATGCTTCGTTTCGTCCAAAAAAACCGGCTGTAACTGCACCAAATGGGAGCAATGGAGATGTAATTTCTGTTCTTTTTATTGGTTATGAACTTTTTAAAGCTAGTAATTTCATATACCTTTTTTTATTTAGAATCA